CCCTCTTCTTCATGTCTCTTCTACATCAACATGTGTCCCCTCTTCTTCATGTCTCTTCTACATCAACATGTGTCCCCTCTTCTTCATGTCTCAACATGTGTCCCCTCTGTGGAAAGAGACTCTGAAAGTTTCAGGAACAAAGATTCTCTCTCTTTTTGATTCATTTCTATAAAAACCTGTCTGAAAATGAGCTGATCAGATTTTGGCCACTTTATGATGTCATAACGATGTTTTGTCTTGGTTAACCATTAGCCAATCACCAACCAAGGTAACCCCCCCCCCCCCACCTTATCACCTGAATCTCCCCCTAGAGCACCATTGTGATTCTTAACCAAATCTCTCTCAGAGGGGCGTGGGGAGGGGCTCCTTATTTTCATCTAAAGTAACAGACAGAGAATCAGCACTTTGGAAACAGGGCTGAAACAGAGGGGATTATGGGTAATGCTGCAATGATCTGTTTGGTGTTTCAGCCAATCAGAGACAGGCTCTGCATATATCTGAGACCTGTAATATATTGATGAAAAACAGTATGATAGGGGACCTTTAAAGTTATGACTTCATGTCTGGGATCATGGCTGGGTGGGGCAATGCAGTTGTAAACAAAACACTCTGACTCTAAAGATACATCTAGAAAATAAGGCAGTGAGAGGTAAATTACTAACACTGAGCAAGGCCAATCACTGATTACTCCATTAAAGCTGTCTGGAGATCAGCACAAAAAAAAAAAGAAGTAATTCGCTCTTCATGTATATAAAAGTTGACCAATTATTACAGAAAAAGCTGTTTTTTTCTTGGTCTGGTTTGTGGGTTATTTCGAAAAGCAAAATACATGTTAGAAGAATAGCTTCTGTATAAAATGAAAAACATCCAATCAGAGTTTTGTTAGAATCTGGGATCGACATGTTCCCCTATTTTCTGACACTCTTCGGAACATTTCATCGATTTATCGAGAAAATATCCTGCAAATGATGGGAAATGCACTGAGAGTCTTGTATGTATGTTTTTAAATCATCCTACTACTACTACTACCTCAATACTGCTGTATTTCTTTGTATATGAATTTGTGAGAAATAATCAATATATTGTGCCGGGACTTTAAGGGACATCATTTACTGTAGCAGTGTTTTCCACGGACCGGATGTGGGCAACACCTTGGAGTTACGGTTTCAGATTGTTATCGTTTTAAGCCTCATAGTAGCATGTAGCTCATAGCATATCGTGTATGTGAATATAAGGAGAATGATGCGTGGAGTTACATACTAAACACACCGTCTCCAACTCTCACTCATCGACGCTACATTACTACTATTATTAAGTGTTTAATGACCAACAAACAGCAGATTAATTGTATATTAAAATACCATAAGGGATACGCTACAGCTACGTCATCAGAGGCTACAGAAGAAGACCTGCCCCCCGTCGACGTCAGCCCTCTTTCATTCATTCTACCGCAGACAGCTAACTGCTTGAAGTTGACTTTGGACCAGTGAATTGAATTTAGGAACCACAGCTGTGTTCCCTTGTAAACCTACTATACCATTGCATTAATAAATACTGTTAAACTTTTCGAGAAGCTTCCTGGTCTTCTTTAGACTAACTCTTGGTCTTCAAACAAAAGAACACAACACAATCCAACAGTGGTCGCCTTTAGCTGTATTGTTAAATAAACCTCAGTTACAGGTCATATTCATCATTATTTATGTTATCTCTAAGTGTTTACCAGAGGCTGCAGCAGGCACCACTGGGCTGGTGATGACAGGTGCATGCTGGGACTCTCTGGGGTACGGAGGCTCCTTACCCACATGAGGAGAGCTCAGATAACCTGAGAAGCACACAGACAGACAATAAAGAACATAAACAACAACAATTATACTTGTCCTTCAGATTAAACCAAGGTTATGAACTCACTGCTCCATAGCTTCTTAAGTTTCTCATGTTCTACAATCCAGACCAATACCCACAACCGCTACTTTGCACAATTATGATGTGTACATCATGCACTCCGATCGATGTCACTATGTTTCTGTGAGTTTTCAGTATTTTCTTTATATTGTGAATTATTTAGATACTCTAGTGATGTATGTCTTTTCTACTGTGAATATGTAAACCTTTGCTGTTAAGGACATTTATTTGTTTATTACATTTCTATCTTATTCTATATTTTACATATCTTTAGCTCACGTGCGATGCTTGACAACACTGCTGCTGTGACAACAAGTATTTATTTGTCCATATTGTGGGCGGACTGTGTAACTAAGGACCAATAACTTTTGCTGCATTGGCGTGTTTCAAGCAGGCTATGTTTCAATATAATTAAGAAGTAGTAAGCAATTTATACTGCATGACTATATTTTAATAAAACATTAAAGCTAAGATAGTTACAGTTCCTTCACCGGTGCGTTAACTGACTAGAGACACTTCTTGAAATTAGCAGGGGGACAGTCAACTGTTAGCTCTCATATATCATGATTTAAACACTATGTTAATAACGATAATGTCTATTTTATTAGATACACGTCTGTTAAATCAGCGCTACACACTATATCCAATGTTTTCATCGCTAACCCTAGGTGATCTAGCTTTAGCTCAACGCCCCCTGAAAGTGATCTGCTGGTTGAAGCCAATTTTACGTTATGGTCAATCGGTGGTACTACAGCTTGCCTGACGTCGTTGTGTAAATCAGCGTGGATTTATTTTTTAGCTGAATAAACTACCCAGCACGAATAGTTGTATGGCCATTATTAGGGTCTAAAATGTGTAAAAGGCGCTAAAATCCAGAGTTATTTCCTCTCCATTCATTTCACTGAGCCAAGAGCAGGGGGGAAGGAGGCGGGGCTTAATAAACACTCTACTGCGCATGCTCAATGGGCCCACAAACGGGTATTTTCTGAATCTACATTCGCTGTTTTAGGCTTCATGCGCTACAGAGTAACTTTGTATTATATTATTATTATTATATATCTTAATTGAACAAGGGCCATGCATACAAAAGAATTGATCTCAAAAAGAGAACAGATGCTATATGCCAGATTATAGCTAAAAGCTGATTTCCATCTGCAGTTCCTGCACACACATAACAATCAACAAACATTAAAACACAATTCATAATGCCTATCACATCTACAAAAACAACAGATGTATAACATATAAATACTGGTACATTTGTGTATGTAATATAATTTCACAATTAATTAAACATCTCAAATTAAACCAGGAATGAACTCTCATAGGAATGAACGGGATCTCGCAGGCTAACCAGCTAATGCTAACTCATTGGGAGGAAGCTAACGTTAGTAGGATAACGACAGATGTAATCTAGTCAAATCTCATTTGATAATGAAACTGTTCCACATACCGTTAACACTCTGTAAGACCAGGTCTGTAAACAAAACGAAGATGATCCCGTAGGTTTTAAAGCAGCGTCCTCGGTCCGGTCTCCAGATCTGACAGAGAGGAGCCATTGTTGTAGCTAACCAGAGATGCGTTCAGGGCATGTGGGAAAAACGAGAGTGTACGATCCTACAGGCAAGGGATGAAGGTGCAGTAGATTGGGAAAGGCATTTCATAAATGTTTAACCTGAAATGTTACCTTTTGTTTTTATAACTATTTTCTGAATGTCTTTATTATTATTTGATTATTATTTTTAGTCTGTATATGTACCTATGTACCCCTGAAAGTGGTGTAAAATACATTTACTCAAGTACAGTAAGTAAAATGTTGGGTTACTTTGCTTAAGTATTTCCATTTTTTGCTACTTCATACTTCTACTCCACTACAATTCAGAGGTAAATGGTGTACTTTTACTCCACTACATGTATTTAACACCTTTAGTTACTTTGCAGATCTGGATTAATGATGTGAAATATAATCAAGTGTTAAATCAGACTTTAGCTACCCTGCAGTATACAAAGTCGTTCAAACTAGCTGCACCTTTACCAGCTCTGAGAACACTTTAATGATCAATCATTATAAAAGATATCATATATATTATTCTGAAATGGACCAATCTGCACGATGACTACGTTTACTGTTGGTACTTTAAGTATATTTTGATTTACTTGAGTGACATTTTGAATGCATGACTTTTACTGTAACAGTATTGCTACACTCTGGTACTTCTACTTTTACTACAAGATCTGAGTACTTCTACTTTTACTCAAGTACAGGATCGGAGTACCTTACCACCTCTGACCTCTGGCCTGAAGTCAACGTTTTTGCTAAAATGTTAGCCTATAACTGCATTGCTGAGACTGCATTCTCCATGCCATGTTCTCCTTTCTCTGAGCTTAATATCGTTCACCACATCCATAATCAAAGATGGCCACCAAAATGTATGATATCTTAAAAACATAGTATATATCACCAAAAACCCTAGTTTAGTGTGAAAAGACTGAAAGAAAAGAGTTTGAAGGCAACATTTAAACCAGCAGATTTTCCAAACACTGCTATTTATCATAACATGTAATTATTCTGAAAGAAAACATTTCTATTGTTGTGAAAATAAAAACAACAAAACAAACATTCAGTCATTTTATTTTATTTCCCTGCAGAGAAAGACCTTTGTGGAAAATTAGTGCCAAATTCACAGATTCTTCATTATAACAATCTTCACATTGTTTTGTTAAATTATCGAGCAACTTCCCTTCAGGAATAGACTTCCACATAGTATAATACCAACACATCGTACACAAACGTGTCCTTTTCTACCCTTCACACATGGTTAATGGGCAATTCAATGTAGTTTGAATCCCTTTTCATCACATTTGCTCACAGAAAATCATTTCCTGTCTGATTACACTTTCTCTGTACCATTTTCACATGTGCCATCCCATGCCCCTCTCCACTAATAACTGTAGTGGAGGTATGAGTGTGTGTGTGTGTGTGTGTGTGTGTGTGTGTGTGTGTGTGTGTGTGTGTGTGTGTGTGTGTGTGTGTGTGTGTGTGTGTGTGTGTGTGTGTGTGTGGATCAGAACTCCTCCTCGGCGTTTGCACAGCGGCTCTGTTTGAGCAGGGTCAGGCGGGCCAGCACCTCGGACACCGACAGCTCTCCGTGGACTTTGCTGTCTCGTGTGCGCACGTTGACGCCGTTAGTCATCTTCTCCTTCTCCCCGACCACTGCCAAGACACATGGAGACACAACAGCTTCACATGGGCCAAGTCACACACACACACACAACAACAGACACACACAGCTACCCTAACACAATCCCTGCTTTTGTGCCGCTGAATACAAGAACGTAAGGTGGTGGGCCAGCGTCAAAATATTAAAAACATTTTTATTAATGTTTATTTTGACTCATAATTGTTCAAATGGTGAGATTAGAGACAGTTAAATATGACCTTAGAACATATTTTTATTACATTTTTAGGCCATTTTTTTTCTTCTATCTTTTTTTAAATTATTTCATTTTGAGTATTGAATAGTGATTGGAATGCAAATTGATCTCCTGTTGTAGCTGCAGATAGATTTTTTAATTCTGAAGTTATTCTGATGCAATAATTATGTAACTTTAAGCAGATATAATATCAAACATGTTGTTAGGGTTTTAAAAACCTTTGTCAGCAGGGTAAAATATGGACTTTAACATGCCCAATAATTGGTATTGCACTTGTTTTAGTTGCCTTATCTTCACTGATGCTGTTACTAAATGCTAAATTGTTGAACGGTGTAATCCCTTACATTTACAGCCACTAAATCGTATATAGAGCAGCACATACAGCAGTATGTTTCCTCCCTCTACATTACGGTGTCTCCTAGGAGTTACAAATAGACTCCAGAGCCAGCATTACAAAAGGGAGAAGGACACCCTACATAGCACATACCCAAAATAAATACAATACATAGAATAATGGGGGCTGCTAAAGGAAAGCCTCACACAGCAGGGCAACCATTTTGGATGAATCAAATGTTTGGACCAAAGGATGTCATTAACCAAATCCAGCGAGGAAATTCTTTTTTTGCCTACCTTCTTTTATTATTTCTGTAAACATATTCTTTCATCTTTCCATGTTATAAAATCCTCCCCCCTTTGCTTCTCTACAGTTATGTAAAGACTCACAAAAAACTGACCTGTACTTTTGCCAATAAACACCCACACCACAAGATTTGAAGTGTGTTGTAGTCAGTGGCGACTGGTTATTAGGGGCAGGTGGGGCTAGTGTCATCAGAAAGTAATTCAAATATGAATTCCAAAAAAATGCAAATAAATGCAAAAGAAATATTTAATAAATGTTTAATCATCTGATTCGTCTGTGCATTGCTGTTTTAGTCTGTGTTCTTCTAATTAGTGTCTACAGTGTAGCTATTCAGCCGTTTTGAGCGACGTTGGTCAAGCCCCTCTCTCTCACTGTCTAAGTGAATGGTTGCTGTAAAAACTACACTGCTCATGCTCAGAGTCTTTTTCTATTCAATGTGTGCGGCATAATCACCATAGGGGGAATGTGCTGGCATACCTACCAAACGTCATCTCATAATTCAGAGAGCTGATTGGCTGTAAGTACGTGTGCCGCGAAAAGTGTAGTTTTTACCTTGTAGTGAAGGGGAGACGAGAGAGAGCAGCGTATAGCGATTAAATCAGTGAAACGGAAAGAAAGTGAATGAAGTTGACCGTCTACTTCAGCTTTGGTAAGTTCATTTTATGTCATATCTTTTGTTGATCTTCTGTGTTTTGCCTACAGGCTATTGCTCTGCTGGATCGATTGATATTGTGACCTTGTGATGAATGTCTGTGTTTTCCTTATACCCGTATATATAAGCTTCTGCCACCAGAAGCTTATAGACACATATATATATACACATCTAACTACAAGTTGTTCGTGCCCCACCACTTTTGTACATATAAAAACGCCACTGGTTGTAGTGTTTGTTTTGACCTGTCATGTTCTTCCTATCATGTATAATAACGTGATATAAAACTGTCTTTAAAACAGACCAAATTATTGTGGGAGCCACGAATAACTGTGTTTTTAAGGATAGCAGCAAACGCAGGATAAACATCTTCTCGTCTCAGAGGTCACTCAGAGCTCCTACATATTTATTTTCTCACCTAGAATGAAGTTATACTGGGCCAGCTGAGCGTTACGGATCTTCTTGTTCAGCAGACAGCCGGAGTCGAGGTCAGCATCCGCCATGAAGCCAGCTTCTGTAAACTGCTTACACACCTGAGAACAACATTTATGGTTCAGCATTACACAAATCTGAGGCACTCCTGTGACTGTAGTTACATGTGGTTAAGATGGAGAAGAATAGGACATACTTTCTTTGCGTAATCCTCAAAGGACGTGTTGACGGGCACGACCATCACCTGACGAGGAGAGAGCCACAGAGGCCTGTAATAATAGCAATAAGTGTATTTAGTATAGCACCTTTCACAGAAATAGAATAGAAGTGCTTCACAAGTAAGAACACAAGTTACAATTAAGACCACAGAAACATGAATACAATAACCACATGAGGCAGAAATGTAAGGTCAACTTAAAAACAAAACACAGACCACGTGGAGTCCTGAAAGGAACAAACGTAATAACAGAACACTTCACACACATCTCGAGTAGAAACAAAAGCCAATGGGAAAAGATAGGTCTTCAGTAGTTTTTTAAAAGCTTCTACAGAGACTGCAGAGTCTGTGTCGGACGGAGTCAGACTGTAAAGCAATCTCTACAGCAATATACAGGATGGATATATTTACCTATGTTTGGCAGAGAAAAAGGGACTTCTTTGTGAAATATTTACGATACTGGGATGTTTCAAATGTGCCAGAAAGGAGAGTGTTTATAATGTTACACAGCGTAACAACTGTAACAATGTTGCACACCGTGGCAGGACAATGCAAATGTTTCCTTTGTTTTCATTAGGTATAGTTAGAGGCCCTTTTATGCTTTTGGGGTTTTCCCTTTCCTGTAATGTGTTATATAGGTGTTTGTCAAATGGTATTGTAACTGTTAAGACAAAAATCAATATAAAAGCAAAACAATTCAAAATAAATGTATGCATGTATTTTCATTTTAAAATCTTAACACCATTTACGATTTTTAACATCAATAAGCATCAGTTAAACTGGATGTGAGTAGACTCTGTTTAAAAGACTGCGGTCTGCTGCGGCCTGCTG